CCTTAAAAAAAGAATTAGATATTTTTTTTTAAAAAAAACCTACACTTTTTAAAAAATAAATAAATTTTTCATTTGTTAAATTATTCTTTTGGGCGTGTAAGTTTTGGATTTGCAACCTTATGTGGTGGGAAGATTTGCAAATAAAGAGACGTGTACACACAAATGCCATTACACTAGCGCAACCGATCTTCTCATGTGCGACATTTGTGGCCTAAATTTCAGTCTTATGTAACTATCATTATTTATTTATATATATGTCATTTTATTTTATTTTAAATTTTAAATATTAATTACATGAAAATATTAGGATTAGGAGTAACTATTTTGATATAACTCATTTCTTTTTTTCTTTTCAACTCTAATATATAATAGTTCAATTAAAAAACATTAATGCTGACTCAATTCATCCAAAATTTATACATGCACAAAGTAAAATATTAATATTAAAAGAATGAAACACAAGTACAAAATGTATGTATTTTGTATTTTGGGTGGAATAATGTGGTTAATGAGATGTGCGATTAATCTTGTATAATTCTTATTATTTTGAATTATTTTTTGAAGTGTGAGTTAGATCAAGACCTAATTTTGTTGATATATTTTTAATTGAATTTTTTAGACGTTAAAAATTCTTCTCAGAATTGCTCCCGACTAGAACACTAATGGGTTTCAAATTGGCTGATTTTTGTGTTAGAAATATAATTAGAATATTTTCCCTTTCTATTTAAAAAAATTGAGAAATTTTTTAGTTTCAACTTTTCACATTAACATGTTTAACGTACCAAATTTAAGAATGTTTTCATATATTTTTATTTTTAGACAGTAAGATTCAAAACTCTTTTTTAATTCGGGCCAAAATAATAATAAAAAAATGCCTAATTGTAAGAGCCAGTAGTTACGTGAAGTGACATTTGTGTCATCATACAAATAATGATTCAGGTTCTCACTGCAAAAATAGTTGAAAGTTGATTAAAATGGCTTTGCATTTCAGCAGTGCGTGTTTGTGTTCTTTAAGCCAAATGAGGGGTCAGAAAATCAGAGCTGTTGCAGGAGAGAGTAGTGTTACATTTAACTCAGAAGAAGATAAGGTGAAGCTTGGTGGGTCTGATTTGAAGGTAACTAAGCTTGGAATTGGGGCTTGGTCTTGGGGTGACACTAGCTATTGGAACAACTTCGAATGGGATGGTGAGTTCTTTGAATTTTACAAACTTTTTGATAATTGTGACTATCTCATTGTTAGTAGCTTAGTTGGTTGGTTATACTACACTTTTTTGGTGAGGGTTTGATTCTGTGCCTTGTAATTCTCTCACACATTTCCCCTTTACTATAACAATATTGCAATTGCTAAATCCTGTGAACTGATTCTGTGCTAAGTTTGGGTACACATTTCTTATTTGGTCATGTAAAAATGACTCTTCAAGATTGCTGCTTGGAATCCATAATTTGATCATGATGGGTTTGGGTTAAAAATGAGTGAATTTTTAACACCGATTAAGCCAGAGTTAGTAGCTTAGGAGGAATCATAACTAAAGTACTACATTCGTCTTTGGTATTATGTCCCTCTTTTCCCTTGATATCTTAGTATTGTGTCTGTTAACTCTAGTTTTATATTAGTCAAGGATTTAGTAGGATATTCATTCTGGAAATTTTAGAGATAATACATACATAGAGAGCTGGAGACTCTTGTTTGCTGGTATTGAACGTATAGCTTGAAGGGAATGCCCCAATTGTTCCGAAGCAAAGAAGGAAATTGGATTGAGGCCTAATGGCACCTTTGTGTAATGTTCACCAGCACACGGTTGTCATAAAATCAGGTCAATCTAACGGTAGTGAGTAACCTTGATCTGTTCATTCCCTCAGCTGAATGTGATTTTCTTAATCACAATACCTGTGGCATTTCAATGAGAAACTGAGAGTTTGAAAGGGAAATCGCTTGTTTGGTCGAACCAAGCGAATCCCATGTTTAGGATGAAAAGTAGCTCCACGAAAGATTTATCTTTGAAGGATATGAATCTGCATTTGAAGGGTACAAAGAAGAAGACCTTGACCTGCAACAGATAGAGAAGGATATACTCAATCACATAGAGGTTTTCTCTTGGATAGTAAAGAGTCCCGAAAAAGTGGAGTTGAGAATATCCTGCAGAGCAGAAAAAAAACATGTCATCTCTTATGGACCAGGCGCATTCCTACTTACGTTTCATTTGGGAAAATATATTGATATTAGTTACTGTTGCTACTGGAATTACTGCCGTCGTTAGATATTCTTTTTCCTTTCTGATTCCTTGAAGATAGTCAGGAACTTTATAGCTATTTTGGCCTCTAGCTTGTGACAATATCTTCATCACTGTTTTTCCTCAACGTAGATACTGAGGGTGCAATTGCTATAACAGTTATAAACATGTTAGAAACAACTGAGGTTATTCCTGGCTACATTAACTTCTAAGAAGCAGTTCTATAAGTAGAAAAATCTAGAGTTGTTTCAGCAAAAATAATAAACATTGAAGCATATTGTGGATTGCCTATCTGATTGATGTAGTCTTTGAAGAGTATTCTGATGACACAAATTACACCTCGTCTGCTTTTCACTTTGTCGTCAGTTTTGTCAAGAGTACTCCATAACCATGGCTAATCACCATCCATGGACACAATTCATGAGAAGAGACCAGAGAGGAAGAGAGGAATTTGGGGAAAATCTCTTAACTGATTTCCATTATGAGAAGAATACGTATTTATACAATGAGAGAACAAAATATCTAACTAACTAGTGAGCTGACACATCAACAGAATTGTAACAGAATCTAGGCTTAGCTAACTAACTATTCTAACTAATTAATCTGATTAGACTAACTAACTAATTAGACTAGTATTATAATTAGCTAGATCATAATAAGTTTCCTTCATTTAATGTAACACTTCAATCCTCCCTTGTGACATGTTATGTTTATTTAGAATGTCTTCTTCTCTCATGTAATCCTACCATTTCCCTTAACATCAGTTGATTTGCTAATTCAACTATCCGATTTTTCTTTCCTTTTCTCGTTAAGTAGCATCCAATTTATTACCCTCTTTGTTTATCCAAGTTTTTTAATTTTGATAACCGGAAAATCGCTCGGGACCTATGGTGCACGGTTCAAAACTCGGTGGATAATGAGCCCACCCTATACCCTTTTCCACTTAAATACCAGATATTTAAATACCACATGCTTCTCTCTTACCGCTAGACCAAAGCCCTGAGGGCTCGTATCTTAAAAAAGATTTTCTTGCTTATAGCTTGTTTGACCAAGTTTTTGGGTGGTCGAAAGTGCTTATTTTAAAAAACTGAGGTGTTAAGCCAAGTTTTTGGGAGAAAATAAGTATTTTTGGGAGTAGTAGAAGCTATTTTTCCGAAGCTAAAAAGTAGTTTTGCTCCAAAAGTGCCCTTTTAGAAAAGCTTGGCCAAATGCTAATTGATGCACAAAAATGCTTATTAATTTGATTAGCCAAACACAAACGGCTTCTCATCAAAAATACCTTTTTGAAAGCACTTTTAAAAAAGTTCTTTTCAAAATAAGCTGATTTTAGAAGTTTGGCCAAATAGGCTATTACTCTGCCTTTACCAAGAAAAAAGAGTGCACTTGTATTTTGGCTAACAAGGGAAAGTTTATCCTTTTATTTTCAAATATTCAAATCCAAGTTTGTCTCTATTAGAGCAAGCATGGGCGAGCAGCCTTAAACCAAAGCTAAAATGAAGGTTAAGGAAAATAATCAAGAAAGCTCTACTTTCCGACTGCTATACTTGTTATTTTCTTCTTCCAAACAACCACTGAAAAATTTCCTTTTCTTTTCAGTTTCTCGAACATTTCCATTTCCAGCTTCCTCTGTGAATAGTTATCTAGTTTGGAGAACGGAGAAATATTTTTTCTCAAAGATATTCTCATAGATTTGCACCTAAAAGCTATGTAAGGAAATGTGCGCTAAGGTATGCGATGAAGAAAGGGCTTAATGGTGGGTTCTTTTCCAATGTTGTCCAAGCCTGGATGTTTTCTTTAAAACAGAAAAGAAAATAAGCCAAGGTTTTGCATTTTTATAATATGAAAAACTGGACATACTGTGGAACCAAACAGGATGTAACATTTTCCTTTGTTGGGTAACAACAATATCATGCCTATGGCAAGGCCCACAAAGAGGCTGGGTTGGTCCAGATCGGAGTCATGATCGAACATGATGCTTGCTTGGTGGACTTAGTTAAGAAATAAAGTTGCGCCTTTGCTATCAACCATAGCTTTTGGCATATGATAGTAAGCGCTTGGTCCTAACACCCTCGTATTTTTTTCTTTTTCTGTTGAAAATCTTATGGTAATTACTATTAGCATCTGAAATGTCAGCCACTTTTTGTTTTTCACCTTTTAGTTATTTTGTTTGAGTTGATACCTAGCTTGTTTCGCTTCTCCATTATCATAACCAATATGATTAACTCTTTTCTTTTTACTGGAATGATGATAGATAAGAAGCTCAAGGCTGCAAAGACTGCTTTTGATGCCAGCATTGATTGTGGGATAACATTCATTGATACTGCTGAGGTTTATGGTTCAAGGGTGAGGAATAGTTTTTTACTTTGGCTATTTCTTAGTCTGCTAAATTGTACAAAAAAGGTGGACAATCATGAGAAAACCATTATTTCCTCTACTTGCAGTTCTCATTCGGTGCAATAAATTCTGAAACACTACTAGGAAGGTGAGCTTTGAGTTCTTCTAAATCTTCATTATTTTTACTTGTGGACAAAAGAATATCAATTTGCATGTTCTTCACATTTGTTGTTTCTCCAATATAATTTAATGTTTTGTTTCAGATTCATCAAGGAAAGAAAAGAAAAAGATCCAGAGGTGGAGGTTGCTGTTGCAACTAAATTTGCTGCATTACCATGGAGGCTTGGCCGTCAAAGTGTCCTAGCGGCCCTAAAAGATTCTCTTGCACGTATGGAACTTTCTTCAGTTGATCTTTATCAACTTCACTGGTACGCTTCTCGAGCGCGCTTCTTCGGATAATTTTCTTAAGCAAACAGTCAATAGCTGATAAAAGCTTTTATGGTCTAATTCTCAGGCCAGGAATATGGGGAAATGAAGGTTTGTCATGTCTGATGCCCTTGTTCAATTCAACTAATAAGATGCTCTTTTTAAAAAAGATTTAGTTTATAATTCACATTTAACATAGACAAAGCTTAGTCAATCAGAAAATCCTTTTTACAGGTTATATTGACGGTTTAGGAGATGCAGTGGAGCAGGGCCTTGTAAAAGCTGTGGGAGTATCTAACTATAGTGGTACACTCGTGACTCGTTCTAGTCAATCAAATATTTGGACAGTCCTTTTGATGACTAATCTTTCTTTCTCCCGCCCGATAATATTTCAGATTGTTCTCTTATTAAGGGTGTTATGAGAATATGACTGTCAAATTAACCAAGCATTGTCCTCTTTTTCCAAAAAAAAAATATATATAAAAATTGCCTGCTACATACAATATTTGGCCAATGGAAGTATTTCTTGTTTCAGAAAAGCGTCTTCGCGATGCATATGAGCAGCTGAAGAGGAGAGGTATTCCACTAGCTTCAAATCAAGTCAATTATAGTCTGATATACAGGTTGCCAGAGCAAAACGGTGTCAAGGCCGCCTGTGATGAATTGGGAGTCACGTTGATTGCATATTCACCCATTGCTCAAGGTAAAACCTGATACAACTGTTTTCTTGTGAAGATGTGTTCTAGAATGACCCGATTTATGGCCTCGTTGAACCAGGCATGAAATAAATAGTTAATGAGGTTTTATGCTGTTATTGAACATAAATTTGGAAGCTGGTTTCCTACACTTTTGTCACCCCTGTGTATTAATGATTTATGTCATCACACATGTAAATAATGTTTACTGAAAATGTATATAGACTTGCTGAAAATTCCTCCCTGTAGCAGCCGTCTACTGTCCCAGTTATTTTTGCACCAAAGTTTAACCAACAATACATAGTTAATATTCTTTCCAATTAATCATGCATCACAGTAAAAAAACTGCTAATGTAGCCTAGGTAAAAGGGTTACGGAATACAACCAGTTGGTTTCAGATTTCTATATCAATTTTGAACGGAGGAAATGACGGGAACTACACCCCTTCCACTCTCCAGCCATCTTATTGGCATAGGAAGTTTGTTATAACTCTTATGTCATACCTGCCTTTTCGATTAAATGCAAGTATTTTGCAATGCTCTTTTCATGTACTAGTATGCTATGCAATTTGCTTCAAATAACTTAATGTTGTGCCCTGATAATGATATGTTTCAGCATCTTAATTGTTTTCTGTTTCAAGTTAAAAGTAAGAAAATTCATGTCAATTTTCCTTTGGATTATGCGGCCCAAACTCGTTACATTTCCCAACTTATGCAGGAGCTTTGACTGGAAAATATACTCCAGAAAATCCTCCCACTGGCCCTCGCGGACAGATCTATACTCCTGAATTTCTTACCAAAGTAAGGGCTTTTACTATATTACTAGAGATTATTAAGAATTTCACTTCTTATGGCTCAAGAACTTTTGCTCACTTGCAGTTGCAGCCACTCATAAATAGAATAAAGGAGATTGGAGAAAGCTACAATAAGACTTCAACGCAGGTATATCTTCCTTGTTTCTCTAAAATCTCATGATTTCACTAGCTTAATTCTTCAGGTGTAGCTTTGTTTGGAATGCTGTAACAGCAATCATAGTAGAAGCTGTAAGATACTAATTTGGTTATATCACCTCCATCCCAAATAAGTCATCTTTTAGCATATGTGAGAGTGCAACATGTGATGTGTGGATTAGTGCATGTGATCTTGAGCTAGTTTGGATCGACGAGAAGGGTATAAATGGATGCACCTATTAGAAAAAAGGGTATAGATGGACCCATTATTCACTGAATTTTGAATCATGTGTCAACCAGACCTCATCGATTTCTCGTTCATCAAGAAAAAAAAAAGCCTTCAAGCTTAGTATTTGTCCCCAACACACTTCATTTTCAACCCATTCCATAAATCCCCAACACTCATACCCTCACCTATGTTAGTATTTGTCTAAATTATATACAAATGCTTTTATAATAATATATTTTGCTTACATACCAACAACAACATACCCAGTGAAGTCCCACAAGTGAGGTTTGGGGAGAGTAGAATGTACGCAGACTTTACCCTTACCTCGTGGAGATAGGTAGACTGTTTCCAAAAGCCCTCAGCTCAAAATGCAGCAATTCCAGATACAAAGAAGAAAATATAACAAGTCATAAGAAAACAGAAAGAATTTGCTAACGTACCGAACACAAAAATAAATAAATAATAAAAAAATACTTATTTTTCGGAAAAATACCAAACACACCCCAAATAGTAATGATTTCCAATGAATGGAAGATATTATTTTGCAGTGATTATATATGTTGTTTTGTTTGACAGGTGGTCCTGAATTGGTTGATTGCACAGGAGAATGTTGTTCCCATCCCAGGAGCCAAAAATGCAGAGCAAGCTAAAGAATTTGGTGGTGCATTGGGTTGGAGACTAACCCAACAAGAAATAGACCAACTTCGTTCTTTGGCATCAGAATTAAAACCTGTTACAGGTTTCCCTGTCGAAAAGTTGTAAACATCATTTTTACATGTACATTATTCCCTTCTTTTTTTACAGTGTAAGTAGTGCTGACTTCTGAGTCCTTGTTCTATTGTGTGGGGGAAAAAAAAAGTGGTACTAATAAAGCTGCTGCAACAACATCGTACGTACTCCATGCAATTTCATAAGTGGGGTTTGGAGAAGGTGATGTATATGCCATCTTAATCTTATATCTATCTTGAAAAGGTTGAGAAGAAATTGTTTCTGATAAACCCTTGGCTCAAGTAAAATATGATAAATGGAGTATTAAGTATGTAAAGCAAATATGATAACAAAGAAGAAAATCGTAGCAACAACAAATAATATAATATGATAAGTAACCGAAGTGAAGGAGACAACGTGTAATACGAAAACCAAAGAATAAAATAGAATGAGAGTAATAATAATAATAATAATATTGATAAGGAAGCTAGACAATACTCGACTACTTACTAACTTTTATATTTTTCTATCTAAGATTATTTCCTCGATAAGTTGTACGTATATCATGTTTGTCTAATCACCCCTCCTCATTATTTTATTCGACTTACTTCTACCTCTTTCGGTACCCACCACAGTCAGGAGGAGATCAAAAATAATTATCCCATTATCTTGAATTTTACTTGTCTTCTATTCTTTCTGTCCCAATTTATGTGGCATCATTGGAGTTTCAACCGTCAATCACGTTTTTCTTCAATTAATTTGTTCATATATATCTTTTGAATATTTTAAATTGTTTATTATTGTAATGTATTATACTTTTTGCATAGTTTTCAAATGTATAAATATTACTTCCTCCGTCCCTTTTATATGTCATCCCTTTCTATAAATAGTTGGACCATAGTACTTGTCATTTTATAAAATTTATGCATAAATTATCATATTTTGCCTATTATACCCCTGATAGAGTAGTTAATTAATCTTGATAATGTATTCATCATTTATTATAAAGTTGACTTAAGATAGCATTAAATAAGGGTAGAAGGGTAAAGTTACATCATTTCTTAATGTAAGTGCAAAGTAAAAAGGTGACATATAAAATGGGACGGAGGAAGTATTTCAAAAAGCTTAATATTAGTTGTGGTTTCAAGTCAATGGGCAAAATCTAATTAGTCGTGTTAAAGGTAAATACTAGTAGTATATATGACTGTTATTTTTACTCCTATAAACTTTCCAAAAACATTTTATAACACCTAAAATTGACATATTTTTATAAAATAATGTAGTAACAGTGAGGAATTTTAATAACTCACAATTTGAACTTTTACCTTATTAGCGAGAGTTTAATTTTCGGCTTTGTAATTTCCTACCCTATTTCTCCCATCCCAAACTTAAAAAACGTGGAATTAATTAACAGGCGATTAAGACTAAAACAGCTATCATTGATTATTACAAACACAAAATAATACACTACTTCAATCATAATATATTAATTGACTTAGTTACAAATATTTTAAAAAAAACATACTAATTGAATCATAATATATTAATTGACTTGGTTACCAACATTAAAAAAATACCAGTTCAATCATAATAGAATAATTGACCTCAATCTTCTTGTCTCCTTAATCAACATCATTAGTGTTCCTTGAACACAATAATTAAAAATTATGTACTACAAGTGAAATATACATAAATAATGATTTAAAATAATAGTAAAAATGAGGATAAGTGCAAACGTGGCTAAAGAATTTAGCAGTATTTGATCCACAAGGTGGAAAGGGTCCATAGGAATAGAAAAAAAGAAGATTTCATACAGCTAGGCTGGATGTAGCATTTATATATAGAATTCATTTGAATTCAGTATTTTTAATATAAAATATAAATTTATATATAAAAATTCATCAAAATTATACTTTTTTTTTCCTAATTCGCTTGATTCGTTTTCCTTTTTAGTCCAAAAGAATGACATTTTTTCATATTTAGTATTTTTTCTGTTTTAATTTGTTGTTCACTCAATTTAAAACGAAGGAGTAACAATCTTAATAAAATGATTTGTATCCACATAAACATTTCTAACTTCTTTCATATCATAAATTTCAAAACTCCACCATATGAATTGAGACGAGAAAATTACAAACAATAAGTTCATAAAATTTAAATCTTGGATCGGCGTGGCCTATACGGGGATCCTATTATTGACAGCTAAAGCCACTGGTATTTGCTGTATCCAAAAATAATTCAGACGTCATTTTCTCTTTCATTAATACTATTACTATTAGTGTCCAATTCCAAAAATGATGCTCACATTTGCTGTCTGTTTCCTTCTTATTATTCTTGAACTAGTGAAACAAAGACCACATAGTTTTTTTCCCTGACTTGGTTTGTTTTCCCATTATAAAATTTTGGTGTTTCTTCCATTTCTGAACCTAAAAGGTTTGATTTTTTTTTGCTTCATTTCTTTTCTTAGTCATGTCATGTTAGTTTTAGAAATGGGGTTTAAAAAAGATTGATTTTTTAAGCCATTCTAATTGACTTGTTCTGTTTATGTTGTGTGCAGGTTTTTGGTTGTTTAACTTCTCTGTTTCCTTCTTTCTGTAAGGTATATAAGGCAAAATCTTTCTTTCCATTCTTTCTGTTTATGAGGATTTTCTTGTTTGGGGGGTGGGGTGGGGTGGGGGATGGACAAGTAAGGAAAAGTAGAGGAACTATTGAACTTTCAAGTGTTATGTCATGCTTGTCTATATTTAGTTTCCTTTTTGCTCTATTTTGTATGATCAAGAGATTCACTTTTTCTTGATATAGAAAAATCATTTTTTTTACCCCTTTTGACTATTAAGCATTGAATTTGATGATTTTGAGATTACCCTTTTACTGTGTGCCTAAAAAAACTGTTTCTTTTCTTGATATGCAGTAGTTTTAGCCATGAATCCATGTCTTCCTGAATGGAATATTGAGACTGAACTTCCTGTTCCACATCAAAAGAAGCCTATGGGGTAAATATATATGTGTACTCTTTCTTGATTACATAACCAAAGTATATTAAATTTGTTTTAAAAAAATGATCTTGAATTAGTTTCAACTGGATGGTCTTTTCTGTAGATTTGATCATGAGCTAGTGGAGTTGTTGTGGCGAAACGGGGAGGTAGTATTACATAACCAAACACATAAAAAGCAGCCAGGCTATGATCCTAATGAATGCAGACAGTTTAACAAATATGATCAACCAACAATAAGAGTTGCTGGAAATCAGACTAATTTGATTCAAGATGATGAAACTGTCTCGTGGCTAAACTGCCCTATCTATGATTCGTTTGACAAAGAATTTTGTTCCCCTTTCTTATCTGATATTTCAACAAATCCTCACCTAGGGGAGGAACCTGATAAGTCAATTAGGCAATCAGAGGACAATAATAAGGTTTTCAAGCTTGATCCTTTAGAGATCAACCATGTTCTTCCGCAATCACATCATTCTGGTTTCAATCCAAATCCAATGCCACCTCCAAGATTTCACAACTTTGGATCAGCACAACAGAAACATCATATAGTAGGGGGGAATCAGAAAGGTGTTAACTTTCCTCCACCGATAAGGTCATCCAATGTGCAGCTTGGTGGCAAAGAAGCTAGAAGCAATCTGATGCTGCAAGATATCAAAGAGGGGTCTGTGATGACAGTTGGTTCAAGCCACTGTGGAAGCAATCAAGTTGATACTAGCAGGTTTTCAAGTAGTGCAAATAGAGGGTTGTCTGCAGCAATGATCACTGATTATACCGGAAAAATCAGTCCACAAAGTGATACAATGGACCGAGACACATTTGAACCAGCTAATACATCTTCGTCTTCAGGAAGATCGGGTAGTAGTTATGCAAGAGCATGCAATCAATCTACAGCGACCAATAGCCAGGGCCACAAAAGGAAGAGTAGAGACGGTGAAGAACCAGAATGCCAGAGTAAAGTAAGTTACAATTTGTTTTCTTAGTCTCTTGGCTTAAAGTAAGTTACATCTATCTGAAGTTCCATAATTTGCTATACAGGCTGATGAGCTAGAATCAGCTGGAGGAAACAAGGCAGCCCAAAAATCTGGAACTGCCCGAAGGAGCCGTGCTGCAGAAGTGCATAATCTCTCTGAAAGGGTAGAAGTTGTTGACCTTCCTTTGCATATTTATAGAGTTAATGGCTTTTTTAAGGAAATATACCTTAATCATCAAATGGCTTTCTCTTCTCAGAGACGGAGGGACAGAATCAATGAGAAAATGAAGGCCTTGCAAGAGCTTCTTCCTCACTCTACTAAGGTATGGGGATGAGGAATCTGAGGCTGATTGTACTTTTCATGGACAATATTTGTAGTTTTCATCTGATCATGAAATTGTTAGCATTTGAAAAGTACAAATAGTATCCGGCGGCATAACCTTCATAACACAGAAAGTATACACGATCTTGATTCAATCGGCAATAGTTTCTTGGTTGATGCTAGAAAAGCATTAGTGAACCTTGTGACTGGGATTATTTGGTGCTTGTTTTATACCTACTCAGCTTGCTTTTTCCAGGAATTCCTAATTTTATGTTTCCTGGCTTACTTTTTTCAGACAGACAAAGCATCAATGTTGGATGAGGCTATTGAATACTTGAAGTCACTTCAGATGCAACTGCAGGTATGAACTCATAAAATCATATGGGGTGAGTTAGCGACTGATTTGTCCATGATCCAAATGTTTCTACGTTTATCTTAAGTACAATCACAATGTAAAAATATTCTATACTATCAAACCTGTTATAGAAGGTTATACATCTCAATAGTTGTGCTTATCTTTAAATGACCTATCTGATAGTGATAGTATGGTGAATATAAGTTAAGCACAATGTTCCTTTATGGTGATCATATTCAGATGATGTGGATGGGAAGTGGCATGGCATCAATGATGTTTCCTGGTGTCCAACACTACATGTCCAGAATGGGAATGGGGATGGGTCCGCCTTCGGTGCCTTCCATGCACAATGCTATGCATTTAGCTAGGCTTCCTTTGGTTGATCCAGCAATCCCTTTGACACAAGCTGCCCCTAATAATCAAGCAGCTGCAATGTGCCAGAATTCAATGTTGAATCAAGTTAACTATCAACGCCATTTGCAGAATCCCAATTTTCCAGAACAATATGCTAGTTACATGGGGTTCCATCCACTTCAAGGCACTTCTCAGGTTTGATCTTCCACGTACTTTCATCATGTACACTTGCTATAATTAATTGTTTCCTG